GTCGCTGACGCAGCGTAATCCGATACTTCCCTCCCCTCCAAAGTGCTGACGCAGCGTAATCCGATACCCCCTCTTCCCCGCACTCCCCTCACATACCTGAATTAGAATCGGCCTAGCTATACTACTAACATATATAAACATATATCATCATGGATGTGTTATATTTTAAGTAAATGCAATACATATCGTGATCAGCAAATGTTTATGTTGGAATTGTGGATGTGTGTAGATGTCGCATGAGTCAGTGTGTGGGTCCTCTCGAGTTTTCATAAGACAATATATAAAGAAAGACTCTCTAGTTTTAGATACTTAGTAGCACAATATACTGTACTAGTTTATATATAACAATAAATATAACTACAATAAAGTGGAAGATTAATAAAACTAATAATCCCAAAAGTTTAGATATAAAATAGGCTTTTAAAATTTACAATTCGGAGTTTCAACAACAATATAATTTGCAAAAAAATATAATTAGAAACTATAAACTATAATTAGCTAACTCTAAACTATATCAAAACTATAAAATTATTATAATTAACACTAACTATATAAACTATAATTAACACTAATGAACATAATAAACATTAAACATCTTGCAAGAACACAGATATACAAAATTCAAAATAATTATACAATAATAGAATGCTTTTCTTAATAGAAGAAAGGCCCTTTTCCAATTAGAAGAAATATTGTTGCACAAACTTTTAGCGAAAAAGATTGTGACCAGATTGTGCTGATTCTTTCGAATTCAGTACAACAGGATCATCTTTTTCAATTTCTATATCCTCATCTGACTCCGCGTCTAAAAAATAAAATAATTCATATATTTTAATATCATCATTCTTATTACATAATTATTACTAAAGCATGTATATATATTATATAACATATAATATAACATACCATACGGATTGTTATCATGAAAATTTTTCCTGATGTTATGTAAGACAGCAATTGCTATGATGGCTAACTTTGCTGTACGAAGGGAGATCTGCATTCCATTTCGCAAGGCACAAAACATGCCCTTCCTCCCATCAAAGCAGCGCTCCACGATGGTCCGAGTTCGTATATGAGATGCGTTGTAACGTTCTTCACAAGGATTACGAGGATTTAAAATTAATGTTAAGAGGTATGGTTTACAAGGGTACCCAGAATCCCCAAGCAAAATACCTCGTATTCTACCTGCCTGTAAATTTATCAGCATATATTATATTATATATAAATGTATATGTAAATATAATAATTATATAAATTACTTATAGATGAAAGAAGTGGTTTTAACAATGTGAAATACATTTATCGCTCTTTAATATTAACCAGTTCAGTGGTAGACTTTTCCGAAAGATTTGTGCCAAAAGTGGTAAGAGTCAAAAGTTAAAATATCGAAAAACGGTGAAACATGGGTTCAAAGTTTTCGAAAAAGCAACTTTTCGGAATGGGTATGGATCCCCCCCTCCCCCCGGCCACCAGAGCCCTGGTGGCGGGAGGGGGGGTCAGAATAGAGGTGGAAAATGTTAAATGACACTATGGGTCGAGTGGGGACTCATTTGAAAAGGCGTTTCAAGACAAGAACAATAATTTTTGAAAATATTTACTACGACCTTCCAGTCAAAAGTGGAGTTGGATCAGAAAAAGGTAGTGGACTTCCAAAAAGCTATCTCCGATTTGACTGATATTTAGCTTAAATACTTATTTGATCTAGTAAATAATATTCCCAAATGGATTTTTGGCGCAAATACCCCCTCCGCCCCCAGCCTCCCTCAAAGGTTCAAAAGTAAAACTGTTTTTGTTAATTATTTCAGAAAATATTTATTGTATGGAAAAAGTTGTCAAACAAAAAATGAAGCTCATAATAAGCTTTACAAATAAGGTCCTATAC